TAATTAAATATAACAACTTACCAATAAAAATCAAGAAAACTACCACATATTTAAAAAAAAAAAAAAAAAAAAAAAAAAAAAAAACAAGAAACTATGACAACAATTTTGCCTAAATGTCTCATAGCGAGGACATTTAAAACGATTATCATAAACCTTAATATATAATATACTTACATGTACTAAAAAATCGATATTTAGTATAAAATTTTCCTCAGCTTCACTATTTACGTGCTTTTTGAATCGTCTTTAAAAATTTGTGTAAAATTTACTTTTTCATTTAGTCATGTACGATTTTATTGTGCTTTAAATTTATTAATTAGCCTTTAATCAGTCGAAAATTATTAATTGAAATGCCTCGTAAACTTTTGCTATTTAATATTATTTTTATTTTGCTTACACATTTTATGTTGTCTTAACATTTTACCAATTATCCGCACCATTTTATTATTAATGTATGCATAACAATAATAAAAATGAAGTTGCCAATATAAGTAATTACACCGATGAAAGTAAATTAATATTTTTATATATATTTGCTAACATAAACGAAAATTAAAAAAAATAAAATAAAATAAAATAAAATAAAGTAAAAAATAATGTTTCCTCATTGAATTTGTTCGACTTATTTGATTTTTGTAGTTATGTATTTAATGGACCACTAACAGTAAAACATGTTTTAATATGCAGGTATTCATATATGAAAAATAAAGTCCAGAAATGTATTTATCCGTAAGTTTTGGGAGTAAAATACAATTGGAAACAAATATTAAAAGTTAGATTCTAATGATTACAAATGAGAATTGAATTGATTTATCCCATAAAAAAATAATAATTAACTATTGCATATATAAAGGCATTTTTCTTGATTTTAAAATAAGTGTAAGCGTGTGAATCATCCCCATCGCCAGGAATCGATAAATTGTAATCGATATCATTTTAATTTAAAATGTTCTAGCACCTATACTTTGCACTGGTCAGTGTACTTTCTCAACACATTTCTGTTTCTTGTCAATAAATTATTTCATTCAGTTATAAAAAAAATTTTTAATCGATATAAATTAAAAAGTTTCCCTCATTTTTTGTTTAGGGAAGTTTAGTAGATTTAATGTATGAGTGAACGGTCACATTGCATTCATAGCGACGACGAAAGACATGTCAGGCTATATGTAACGCATATGGAATAATTATTGAACAAAAATATATGTTAGCAATTCATACACGTATAAATTTACGTACATTTTTTTATCTAACATAAAAAGCTGATGCTAAGTTTGGTGTTTTTGTGAAAAATAAGATTAATTTCCAAAAGCCCTTAAGAATTGTTAATGTGACATACAAAAATTTGTACATGCCGCACACACAAGCGCTTTAGAGACTTAGTACATGTACATGTGTATGCAAGCGAGTGAAAATTTCAAAGGCCAGTTTAAGAAAGGCGTGTGGTGCGTGTGTTGTATGTAGATGAAAGTGCAATATCGATCATTTACGCACTTTGTCATACAGTCAAGCTCTCCAAAAATTTTGTTGTTGCTTTAACCTTTGTCACCCGCTTACTAAATAATGCCGCTACTTGCCTATAAGGAACAACGCATTCTAAGTCCTCAACAACTGCGCAAGCTAAGCGAACATAAATACTCATGCTTCAGCGCAAGTTTGCTAGATCCATTGCTCCAACCGTGGTGGAATTGGTTGGTCGCCCAAACGCCACTTTGGCTAGCGCCCAATCTTATAACAATCGTCGGTCTAATACTCAACATTGTGACAACGCTGATATTAATTTGGTGAGTGCTTCTTTCAAATCTTTTTATTGATTAAAGAACTGTATGCATATATAGACTATACATGTGTATATAGTATATACTGTGCATATATTTGTTCCTACATTTAGATTAATTTTTCAAACTCATTGCGTGGTTTATGGGTGGCGTGTTTTCCCATTCGTGAAATTAACTAAACTATTGTTTTCCTATGGTATTCTTTAACAATATTATGTTCATTTTACGCCGATCGATCTCAAATTCTCGATTAAAACTTGACATTATAGATTTAATAGCTAGGTTGTAAGCCGTATGTTATGTCTTATAAACATATCATTTCATAATGCAGGGGAATTCAGATATGATCATGCCATAACTTTCGTAGGTGGGTGGGTCTCAGGAAAATGGCGACTATGATTAGATACGAAACATATCGCTTACGTTACCGTTTGCAGCTGAAACTTATTTTAAAATGATCGGTCATTTTGTTTTGTTAAAATAGGTTAATTTAGTACATTCATGATAAGAGAACACAAAAAATCAGTGCACTAATCAGTGAGCATATATTTTTACGTTGATTATTCGGCTTTTTGCTCATGTACCTTCAGACTTTCTATGGGATCAATTTAATTAACCCTATGAATAAATTACATTCTGTTACTTGATCGATGATTGCTTTGATTGAATTAAATTAAAATTTGCATTTCAAATTTATTCCCTTTTGGTCGAAAAAATATAAAAATCTATCACCCATTAATATAATGAACAAATTTAGTGAGCTTAAAATGACTTTTTTATTAAAACATTTTTAGTTCGAACAATGTTAAGAATAACAATTGATTTACTAAAAATGTACTCTAGTGCATTTATTTAGTCTTTAAGTTAACATTCGCTCTATGCTATCATTTCTGAATTTGTCAATTGGTCAAATTATACATGAATATAAACTAACTAGTTTATTTAGTATTGTTTACTTGACACTGGGTCTTAAGGTTGTTCACGTTCTCAGCTCTGGTATTATTTTAGTAAAATGGTATTTTAGGTAAGAGGGTAAGCATACGAGGGTAAGCACAAAACTTCTTCATCAGCAAACTGATGATGGCAGTGAATTATTCTGAAGCTTAATGACACTGAAACACAAGCTTGATTCTTTTACTGACGTCGACCAAAGCGGGCAAATGCTCCACATTCATTGCATTGAATTTATTCGACCCTCACAGTTAATTAGATTAGGCTGCAAATCTCGGATGTTGTAATAATTTATTGTGGATGTATCAACTAAATTTTCTTCTGAATTGCAGCTACAGTCCGAACGGAGTCGAGCCGCCACCACGTTGGACATGCTTTCTCTGTGCTCTTGGGCTCTTTGTCTATCAGAGTTTAGACTCTATAGACGGCAAGCAGGCGCGGCGCACCAACACTTCGTCACCGCTAGGTGAGCTCTTCGATCATGGCTGTGACTCCATATCAACTATATTTGTGGCTCTTTCGGCGTGTATATCCTGCCAGCTAGGCCACTACCCGAACTGGCTGTTTTTCCAGGTATTCGATGAACTTTCCTTTGAATAACAAGTTAGTAAACGTTAACATATGTTGTTTGTTGCTTTCAGTGCTTCTGTGCGATAGCATTATTCTATTGTGCCCACTGGCAAACTTATGTGTCTGGAACGATGCGATTTGGACGCATCGACGTGACTGAAGCACAATTTTCGATTATTGCCATACACTTAGTTTCCGCTATTTTAGGGCCGGAGATTTGGTTGACCAAGGTAAGTCATTTTGGGTGGATTACATTTATACATAAATAATATATATTTTGTTAAGATTCAGCATTTTCAGCAGATATCTAATAGAGCTCTAGCATCTATATAGTGTATATTAGAATAAATTAGAGAATGACGCGAGTCTCTCTGTGAAGTTATAATTATGTTTGTGAGTTATTAGTCATGTTGGGCGATATTGCGTTTCCTTAATTCTTTTTGTTATAATATACTTTAATCATATTAAATGTATATTATATACATTCTTAATTTAAGATGTATTGCCGATATTCTTTTTAAGTTGTGTGCGCTTGGCTTCGATTTATTGAGCTTATTTCTTGGCCTGACATTTGCTATCTAAGTTCGTTAAGTAGTAGCATTCCTGTACTTTGTTAAGTAATGACATTATTTAAATTGAAACACTAAAATGAAATACACTAAATTAACGAAGCTAAATGCAACTATAACGTAACCTATATTATATTTTTAATCACTTTTAATCTTAGATACATAAAGTATAAACAGAAGATTTATAATTGTAATAGTCTTAATACCTTTTACTTTTATGTCATAAACAAATGTGTTCCACTGCCACAACAATACAACTAAAAACAACAAATATTTTATATACACCTACAATCAATCGTAAAAAAAAAAAAAAAAA